TATATATATATACCCAGATATGGACGGATGACGCGAGGTTTCTTATCGATTCACCCTGTCCTTCGTGAAGAGCGAGACTCCGCTGGGAAATACGCGTTATCGAATGTAATACGTAAAAACTGACGTTTCGGAATGCTTCAATGACATTACGTAGTCTTACGAGTACTTCGTATTTATTGCTTGTCTTGGCAACGGAAATATATCCGGGTGACATGACGCGCAGACGAACTTTTTAGATTTGACTTCGTGAACAAAAATATCTAAATACGTTCGTTCTTAATTTCTTGAAATATTCTTCTAGGCAATTCGCCTCGGAAAATTTTATAATATTTTTGGAATCAACTGAATTTCTATAGAAATTTTTATAGAAATTTATTATTTTGACTTTTGCATATTCAGTAGATTTAAAATTAATTAAAAATAAATGAAAAACACATTAAAAATACTTAAAGGTGAATTGTTTTCTCCAAGATTATTTACTTTATGAAATTATTCTTATTTATATCAAATAAATATCGACAAATAACAAAAAGTTAAAGATGTATTTTTTCCGGAAAAATATTATTTGATATTTATTATCATTTTCTGTCGTTATTTGTAAAACAGTCATGTCAAGATATACCGAGATATCTCTTTTGATTTGAGATCAGGAACTACAAGGATTTAAAATTATCCAGCGAAGAATTCCTCGTTTTCATATTAAGAAGTATGTCTTCTCTCAAATTCGTTCGGTTATTTCCGTCGCTAGATTTTCGCTTCAGATCAGATTATCGATTAGGAACGAAGAAAAAAAAAACCCATGAGAATTATTTTGAGAAGCACGTAATGCAATATTAACGGCTCTTTTGCATGTTCGAATTAATTAGCGTCTGTGCTTAACAAATGCGACTTAGGACGCGAACATGTCGTGTAATTAGTGTCTCGATGTATCTTCATCTTCACGCACTCGCACATGCAGGAAATTAGGACTAGATCGCGCATAAGCACCGAATCCTTATCCTCTTCGTTAGCATCGTCAACGTTAATAACGTCGAAGTTAATAAACTAAAGACCTCCGAGCTTTCTTTGTGACCGGCCCTTGACTAAACAAGTCTGCAATTGAGTGGCTAAGTGCCACGTACGTGTCTAACTCGTAATTTCTATTACTTGAATGGTCCCGAGAGTCGTACTTGTCAAGTACACGCTTTCATTGCATCAACGAAGTACTGGAAATTATATCCAAGTTACCTATATGGCATCTGTGATGATTGATTGCGTCTCGCTTAGAACCGTAATCTCAATTAAATAAATTTTTCCTCTTCGTACGAGCATAACCAAAGACGCATACCATATCCTATACAGATACTAAATTGCTACGATTTACTAAATTCGAACTGCTGGCAATCTCGAGCATGGGAACGGACAGCAAGAAAAAAAAATTGTCAGAGATCGATTCGCGTAACCGTATGCGTAATCGTTACACCAAGTACGTCGAGTTTCCGTTGTTTTCCCGCAGGACCGGTGATCTCGGATCAATTTTTGAGTCCCAGTGTTCCCTCGGCTGTTATTAATCTCGCGACGTCCGATATCGGGAATCGAGTTAACGACAACGACGACGATGACGACGATTGGTGCGAAGGACGCGATGGTGTGACGCCTCACCTATGGCAGTTTTGGTGCGCACGGTGCGCGAGTATCCCATGGGATACAGTATCGCCCAGTAACGATCGACGGATACCGCCACCAGGCAGAAGATGCTGATGGTGCAGAGGACCACGAGGACCGACACGGTAAACAGGCAGGCGTAGAGGTTCGTCGGCAGGCCGATGCTCGCGAGGATCGCGAACGGGATCGCGAACAGTCCCACCAGCAGGTCGGCCGTCGCCAGGGAGACGATGTAGTAGTTGGTGCGTCTGCGTAGCTTCCGCTCCTTGCTGAAGACGATGATCACCAGGCCGTTGCCGAAGACGGCGCAGATCGCGACCAGGATCTCGCACACGGTGTACGGCAGGTTCAGTTCCGCGCCCACGGACGACGCGTTCGTCGGCCCGGTGTGGTCCAGGTAGTCGGTCGGCGGCTCGGTCACGTTCGACGGAAATCCCATCGCGGCGACCATCTCTTATCGTCGCCGTCGGGGATGCAGGACGATCGTCATCACACGGCAGGCGATCCTCGTCGTCGCCTCTCGATCTCGAAGCATGGCGCTGCACCGCGGTGCAGGATCGAGCGGAGGAATCGCGACGTCCCGATATTTTCCGGCGACGCGAGCGTCGATCATCGCTTTTTCAAGGATGTCTGGATGTATCTCTTAAATATTTAACGATTATTAATATCTCGCCAATGTTCGACGCGCGTCGAACCAAATGACCGGGCGAATACGGGCGAGCGCGTTTGGCGCACCACGTGCGCTCGTCGAACATCGGTGCCGAAAGAGAAATGGCTGTGAAAGATTCCCTTAGATAAATTTCTACATTTCTATTTTTACATTTTAGATTTCGCACGTTCTATTCTCGCGGCGCCGGCAAGAAAATTAGTTCACCGCGCGGTGATCTCGCTGGCAAGTCGCGCGATATTATAAACGAAGATCAACACACTCGCCTGCTCGAATTATTCTTCAGCGATAATAAGTTTTATCCGTCGAGGAATATCTCAATCTTCGGGTCTTTATAGACAAATGCCAAAGTTTCTTTCTCCCCAAGGGAATCGAAATGCTTTGTTATCAATTTGCGTAGAGAAATTTATAAATTTTCTCCTTTTTTTGAATAATTAGTTCTCACTTACAAGATAGAAACGAAGAAAACTTGCCGAGTGAATTATTTTTCTTAGTCTCAAGCGATAATAATCGCATCTTTATAGACAAACGCCAACATTTTTTTTTATTCTATACCTAAAGGAATCAAAATATTTGATTATCAATTTTGTGCATGATAATGAAACTTACATAAACATCTCAGTCTCTCAACATTCGATGTGAGCCTCGTCTTTTCTTCTTTTCCGAACGACTACTCGATATTTCGCGGCTTTTCAATTTTGTTCGCCTGACGGCTATTCTCGAACCGATTTCTTCGATTTTGCACTCACAAGATTCCACTTCTGTTCGTCCGAAAGACGATGGACGGATGGACGAACGATCGATCGTTCGTCGCGTGATACGTTAACGGCCGTCGCGTTTCTCGTCCATTACTCATCGAAGAAGCGAGTCCGAATTACGCGAGCGCGTAAGATGATTTCCGCGCGGAAATCATCTAATAGAGCCTGCGTGTCACGCGATTTCGCGTCGCCACGAAACGTAACGGGGAGGGACAACTTTGTCGTCCGGCGCTTGGCGTTCGTGCTTCGTATCACATTCGCGTTTTATCTTTTCCGATATTAATCAATCCATCATTCCCAGATATTCCCGATATCCGCGGGCGGAACGAAAGATCGTTCGACCTGATGGATCGCCGGATAATCACCGGACGCGAAAAAACCGAAGAGGATCCGCCGCATTCGGAAAATCGCTCACGTGCCGCGATCAGTGTGCGGCGTCAATATCGTTAATTAATAAATCGCTGGTTCCGCGTCTCGTTACACGTGTCGTTCATCCGCGGTGCGTGCGTCATCGAAAGGGCGGGAAAAATCGCGTGGAGAGAGTCGGGGCCGGCTTGGCTGGAAGAGCGATCGATGGTAGATCGATTGACGACGGCCACGATGGCAAATATTTATTTTTTGATTAATTAATTCGCGGGCGGGGAACGGAGATTCCTTCCTTCCTTCCTTCCTTCCTTCCTTCCTTCCTTCCTTCCTTCCTTCCTTCCTCCTTCCACGGCGCGACGCACGTCGAGCGCCGAAGCCGGAGCATGAAACGAACGCGTCCACCTTCGCAACCCCGTGGCGTGTAACTGAGGTGCTCCTCGTGACAGTAAAGAACGCGACGGAGGTGGAGGTGGAATCTCCGGCCGGTCTCGCGCTTCGCGCTCTTGCTTCCTTCCGCCTCCGTTGTCAAAACGCGAGGCCGAAAGGGCTCGATACTCGCGCGCGTTCCACGCTCGATTCAACCGCGCGTTATTCGACCGGCGCGGCGCGGCGCGGCGCGGCGGACTGCGACGAAGATGCCTGGCAATTTGCGCGCGTCCACGAGCGCGTTTTGCCTCTGTGTTCCTTCCTCTCGCCTCCGTCGTCAAAACGCTCGGCCGGAAGAGCTCGGTATCCGGCGCAGGTTCCACGCGCGGTCCAATCGCGCGTTATTCGACCACGGCGCGGCCCGGCGTGGCACGGCGACGGATGCGCCTCGCAATTCGCGCGCGTCCGCGTAAACTACGGGCGCGATGGCATTTACACGGCTGCACAGACGCGCTTCACGTGTCTCGTGTCGCCTGACCTCGGACCTGCTTCGCGAGCGACCATCAATATCGCCGAGCTTATCGTCACCGGCGACAGGCGTGTATTCGTGTCACGCACACCTTCTCACTCTTCCGCGCGCACACTTTGCTCTTCCTTCACCTTCCCGTAAAAGCTCGCGTAATTGTTCCTCCTGTTGTGAATGCAACCGAGCGTAAAACGAGCCACGTGACGGAGCCACTCGCGATCCAAATCGGCTTCTCCAGGCGGCTCGAAGTCACCATTCGTATGCGATGGCGCACTCGCGATCCTGCGACCGTCACCGCACACCGCGCGGCGCACAATTGCGCGATCTTAATCTCGCGGTCTTGTCGCTTCCAATACCGCCGGCTGGCGTTTGGCATCACAAAATAATACGAAATTCAGACAGGCCACATCCGGCGCTGAACGTACAGCGGCAACACGGTGGCGAAGAGTGGGGCACAATCAGACATCCGTTCATTTGCATAGTTATATCTTCACTTGTGCATAGCGAGAAAAACGCGAGCCACTGCGCCGATAATGGCCCCCCTAATAGGATACAATCAGCACAATGTAGCTTGTGAAATATTCTATAATCTAACGTAGGCTATTATTCTCGCGTACGTGCATTGGTGGTGGTATACGCAGAAGCGCGGGCAATAGATAATAATAAGGAAAATTAATAGAGAAATACAAAAAAAAAATCGGATACTTTTGTCCGATTTTGCGCGCCGATCTTCCTTGGCAAATAACATCTCAAGATGTTAGGCTTGTAGCTGAGTGCAATCTTTGATACATCATTCGATACATCGTGTATTAAAAAAAGTTAAAAATAAGACGCCAATGGCAGAAGATATATAAATAATAGTATTAATAAATAAATTAATAAATATGTAATTTATTGTTCCCGAAATGGGGGGTTAATAATCGACTTCCGCTTTAAACATATGCATCTTTTTCGCATTAAACGCTTTCTCGCTTCTTTTACAATACAATCATATAACGCTGTACACGATTAAAAAATTATCTTCTGTAGTATCTAACAATTCATTCCTTTTTTCATAATTCAACCATCCTATTTAATCTACTTAGTTACACTCTCACTCTCTCGCTGCCTAATCTTATCGTTAGTATCTTATGCGCATGACTTGCCGAAAACATACAAAATTGCATTACAGTTCACTTCTGCGAATATCGTAAACAATTTCCGATCGATGTAGATAGGATATCGTACATGAGAATTTCCATTATCACGGGAATTATCGTCGATTTGAGTAAAATCCTAATGCCCGATTCCACCAACGTAGATTTACTTTAATCCCGGTTTAACTTGCTCTTCCATCTTTTTCTAATTCTTAGAACTAGAAAAAGATGAAGAATAAGTTGAATCAAGATTACAATTAATCTATGTTGGTGGAATCGGGCATAAATCGTATTAAGAATATTTCCGTAAAAAATAAACATTATATGGATGATATGAAATGACAAATCATCGTAATTAATAGATAATATAATATAAGTGTATAATAGGTTCTTTATTCTGTCTTCCGTCTTCTAATAGTCAGATGGTCACAATTATAGCTGTAACCTTCAGATTAGTGTTTTGCTGAAGGTCAGTTCTGAGGTAAAAAGAGGAAATATCGTTCACTTCATTGACACGTTTAAAAAAATAATATTAAAAATAATATTAATATTAAATAATATTATGATAAATATATAATAATATATATATATATATATATATAATAATATTTAAATTTATATTTTAACGGAATATATTAAATACATTAATATATTTCGTCACGAAAATAAAATCTATTGCCGAAAATTTCTTCTCCAAATCGAAAAAAATGTTAAAATAGTCTGTCTACCATATTTTTCCGTTTTAAAGAAATGTCATTAAGATTCGGAATAATTAGCTGAAAATTATTTCTGTCTACCGGGGATTTATTACATTGTCCGATGTAATTTAATATCAAGATAGGGATAGAATTACTATACAGGTTAACAAAATAAATAAACTCATACATTTTTTATGTATTTTTTCTTTGTCTTTCCCCCACTGTCATGGATGCTGGGTTGGTATATGCGCGCGTACAGTACACGTGGCATCTGAATATATATCTGAAATATAATATCGCGTCCATCATCGTTGTAAAGAACGCTATTCTGCGTAACCAGCGAATGTCAGCATGAATATTCCGCAAACTCTCGTTTCGTCATATCTTTCAACGAGTCTTTTACCAAATTGCCAAAACAATAGCGTGCTGCAAACTTTCTTTGTTCTTTTATTTCGTCCTTTTAATCTTTATCATAACATCATTTAATCCATACTGTGTAACATGAATTCCAAGAATAAAGAATACAAAAAAAAAATTAAAGAAAGAAAGAATCTTAATAGTAATAAATTGAGCATTCGTATCTGTTACATATCTGAAATAAAAAATTTAATTATTAGCGGAATGAGAATTTTTTCGACCCCGTCGTAAGACACGAAAGTTTAAAATGAAAATCTACATTCCCTTCTGTAAAATCGCGTCCGTGTGAGAGTGGTACGGTCGTTCGCCGAGAACAAGGATTAATCATCGATAATTAATCTCGTACGAAAGAAGCATGGTGGAGAGAAACAACGCCGGCATTCAAGGAGGCAGCGGACGGAATCGCGAGCATCCGGCATCGGCCGGCTTTAACGAACGTTGAACGAGACCATTCGTGGTAATTCGTACGTACTCATTGTCCATAACTGGCGCATAACGGAGCGCTTGACACTGCATAAAGGATCTCTAATTGCGCCGCAGAGCTAAATGACTTCTTTCTCGCGCGCGCGCGCGCGCGCGAGTGTAGGCGAGCAACCTCTCGATGAGCGCGCCGGCGATCTCGATCTAAATCGAAAATGGGTCGTGTTCGTGTTACACAGACCATGTAAACACACCCTGGAACATACCGCTGGGTATCTAATGGTTTAATACGACTAATGCGTCGCCGGAAGGTGGACTTAAATTCAGTGCCGTGCCTCCGATCGTCGAATCCATCAGCAAGCGCCGGTATGTATTGTGGAAAAACTTAGACAAACGTAAAGGTACACTCGACAAGAAAATAAAATAATCAGTTCTATTTAAATTAAAAAAAAAAAAAAAAAACTTATCGACACGTCTTCCTTTTTCATTGATTTTTTTTTATAAACGCTTTTGTGCAGCAGTTCAGATTTATTTTGACAGCTTATTACGTTATTTAAGAATTAATAGAAACAAGGAAATTATTTGTGTTGGTGACAATTATTATGTATTTATTTAAAGAATATTAAATTATGTTTCTCTTATCTTATTTCAAGAATCTTAAAAAAATATACGCATAAATTTGATTGATTAAGATTTTCTTGATATTTTTTAAATATCTTTTGATATTTAATATTTTGAATACTTTTTTAAGTATTTTTAAGTTTTTTTAGTGCTTTTTGTGATTAATTAAGAAAATAATTTTCTACTGTATTAATTTTTAAATCACAATTACACAGGGAATATCGCTTCTACGCAAAGGAGGAAAGAAAGAAGGAATGACCGAAATGCCATTTCTGAGAATGTCCCGGCTATTATTTGTCACAATGTCGACCTTGACCTTTCAGGATAATGTATGTTTCGGGCGTTCTACGATTATATATCATTTTTCTTAATATCTTTATGACCCAGCATTAACACGCGCACGAGCACAATCGCGCGCGATTTCCAACACGGATGACTGGCGTTCAGATTAATACGTCCGATATCGCTTTCGCATCGATTCGGAATCGAGGATATATGGGATATATGGGACGAAGTATATGATTTAAACAATCACGTAAGAGGTAAGGATGTATGTACACCGGATTTATCGTGTAGTTCGTAAAAATGCCGGTGGCTTAACGAAGCGAGGACAAAAGACGTAAGTAAAGCGTAACGCGAGCTTTACTTATCGCGGAAGTAATAAAGACCGGCCGTTTTTCCTCATCTCGGTAACAACCTCCGGTAGGACGCGAAGATGCGAAGACACGAAGAGGTCGCAAAGACGCACGGGAAGAGCGATATTTAAAAGGACCCAATTAAAAGCTCGTCCCCGTCGTCCCGCGACGTGCACGCGACGTCCGCGCGGTGTCGTGCGGCCGACTCCGCCGGTGTGCTTTACTTTTATTACAAGCCGCGCGTGACGCGAAAGTTTATAAATTAACGCGCAACATGCCACTTTCTTCCCTCCTCTTTTCTCCGCTAAAGTAATAGTTACGCTTCTCCCGCGCGCCGCCCGCGTGGGCGGGACACAAATATTTACAAACGGAAATAATCACGATCTCATTTGGCGTCATTACACGCGAAGAAGACTAATCAAGGGAATGGGACCGGTAGATATTCATTTAATAGAAAATTAAGCTTCCAGTCTCTCTATTTCTCTCTCTCTCTCTCTTCTTGCTTTAAAAATAAAGATTGACTTTTATTTTTATTTTTAAGCAAAAACGGAATTGAAACTTTCGTTTTATAATGTAAACTTTCTTGTAATCTTATTATAAAATGCTTAAACAAATACGTATTCTTTTAATTCTCTTATAATGTAATGTAGAATATATAATTGAAAAAATATAATTAAAGTTCACACACACACACACACACACACACACACACACACACACACACACACACACACGCGCGCGCGCGCGCGCACACACGCACGCACGCACGCACGCACGCACACACACACGCACACACGTAAAATGACTTCCAAATAAAAAACTCAAAAAGGATGATTTAAAAATTGAAATGACAATTAATAAATCATCTAAAAGCATTTTTATAATAGCAAAAAAAATAAAATCAAAATATTTAATATTTTTAATATTTGTTGTACTATATTTGTTTATAATTCATTTCTTATGTAATTTTTTTAATAAAAATATTTAGGTATTCTGATTATAAAATAAGCGCGTGTTTTATGTATACGTGTTTAAAATTTTTATATATTTATAGAGATTATAAATTTAAATTTTATTCTAAATATGTTAATTCATGTAAAATTCTCAAAAAATGAATGTCTGATGTGACAATCTTTTCTTGAAAATTAAAGAAAATTTTAATTTTTTAGCTAATGGATATCCGGTATTGACATAAGAGTGGTCAATTCTCTTTACGGTCGATGCCGTATATCGATCGACGATTCGCGTCAGTTTCCGAATTCAATTTGTCTAATGAATGCACGAACTCATTTTTCCGTTGTGCACATCACGTTGATTAAGTTGGCGCTTCGCGCTAGCGAAAAGTGGATCGCGATGGGTCGATTGTTCTTATGCTTCTACTAGTCCCGATATATACGGAGCGAAATTGTGTGCAATCAAATTAAATCAATTAATAAATCAATAATTGTTAATGTTATTACATGTGTACTAAAGTATCACAGTGATCATAGACAGTACCTCCACGAATATCGCCTATCACACCGTTTATCGCGAATTGCGTGATATATATAAGTAATTGAGCTCAATTTACATTATAATTAGACTTTTCATGACAGAGAGAAAGAGAAAAGGAAATCCAATTAATGTCAATTATATTACTAGTAATGATTGTCGTATGTAATCAATAATATAAATGAAAAATATTTTTTTTATTTTAGAAATAATTTCAAATATTTCCAGTAAAATGTAAAAACAAATAATATTTAGGTTTTAATAAAATTACAAAAATTAGATATCTATATTTTTTTAGATAAATAATTTTAAAAAAATAGTTCAACAAATTGACATTTTTAAACGCAAAGATCTCATCAGCTGCATGTTATAAATAATTGCAAATACAAATGTAAATACAACTACAATATAATTACTTAGTAGATAGTAATTATTTAGCAATGGTATAAACAATATTATTGACAATATATTTTATACAGTTTAACACACACTTTGCAAATATATATTCAAAATCGTTATTTGCAAATATATTTAAAAGTTCCTAAATATGTAATTTCAAAAGTGCTTATGGAAAAATATTATCTTAAAAAAGTCGAAAGTATCATCGGTTAATGGAAGACGACGCACTTGTGTTTGATCTGAAAATATTTGTGCTAGACGGTAAATAGTGCTGCAATGTTGCACATATAACTATATACAAAATCCATATCAAAAATAGAAATCCCAGGAACGTAAAAGGACCATAGCTGTAAAAAAAAAAATACTTTAAGTGCATACAAGATATCTTAAATAATGTATTTTACATAGAGCACAAAGCATTACATACTTAATAAGCCAAGAAACCAATAGACCAAATGATATACTCATGAGAAAGGTATAATTGGCTAAGGGTCGTAAACTTAATCGAGGTGGTAATCGTTCCTCGGAGCCACTGGTAAACCCATTCGGCGTTCGTTTGGGTAACTTTACGACCGTCGTAGGTGGAGTGATCAATTGCCGACAAATGCTACCAAAGAAGCTCCGTCTGTTGTACAATGCGATTATCTCGTGTCGATACTGCAAATAAATCGCAAATTGTTGAATCAAAGAATAACAATATAATGATGTATAAATACCTTAAGATTAATATAACAGCATAGTTTATGAAGGTTTCTAACAAGAAGAGCGCATTCGTTCGTTCGCACTGGCTGCAATTCTGGATCTCCCATGTATTCGACATATCGGCATGTCTGTCTACCTTCTTGCAATGGTACAAAAGTACCTGGTCTGCTCGAATCAAAGCTCGACTCCATCTACAAATCGCGAATTTTAATTGATAATTTTAATTGATTGATGAAATTTTAACGGAAATTTATTTCAATAATTTGCACCTGCGATTGATGGCAGAAAGAAGTCGATAAAATACTGTCGTGATATTCTTGATCTGCCACTATGGCAACTTGCGGAATGTCCTCGAGTTTTATCTGCAATACATTTGTGAGCATGTGTATCATTTAAAATAATTAGATACACAATGTAAAAGAAATCCTAGTCACCTGAAATATATCTATCAATTGTTGTTGAGCGGTGGCTAAAAGCACGGGTACCCGTCGACGCTCTTCTATGCTGATATCGTCAGAGGAATATTCCTCGCAACTAAAGAATTCCCATAGAGAAAGCAAAAATCGTTTTCCTCTTCTTCTGTCTTCCAAAGCTTCGACTAGGCTAGTTGCCGTTAAGTGTGCTTGTTTAATATTACTCAAAAACCATACAACCTGATGAAATAAATCTTTAAACTAGGAATTAACAAACATTTAAAAATCTGTAGAATAAAAAAATACCTGCAAGTTGATGGCTGTCGAAAACATAGGGATGTATTGATACGTCGGTCCTTCCAGTTCGAGAATCTGTTGTCTAACGATTGATGTCCATTGGTTGGTAGTTATTCGGCCTTTACTTAAGCCTACGTCATCTACACAACTCTCTACTTCACATATCAGTTTTGCTAAATATGGTTGCGAAAATACCTATATATAGATATAAATAAAAAATATATCTTCGAATGTAAAATAACATTCAATTAATAATATATTACAAAAAAGTATATGTACTTACTTTTGTAACTCTAAATAACATTAATGCATTCTTAGGCGCTACAAGATCAGTTCTCATAAATCGCGGAAGCAATTGCTGAAACACAACTGTATATGCTAACAGATTATTAGCAACGAAAGAAAGCCATCTACCAGGATCATGAATCTTGCCTCTTTCTTCCTCCTCTGCTTTACTGAAAATGTTGAAATAAAAACATTAGAAATTGACAATGAGATCGATTATTGATGATAGGATCAAACATACCCTTCTTTAGAATATATTATTCCCGGTACATATCTCCATGGTTGAATAAAGCTTAGCCAAGCTTCCAATATTAATCTAAATGAGCTATCTAGAGGCCAATGATATATTGCTTTTCGCAAAAACGTATATATTTTTCCTTGAACGGAAGGAAGAATTATCCTAACAAATGCAAATAAAACAAAAGATAAACAATATTAAAAGAGCAATCATAACAAAGAGTTGCGAAATTTGTAAATATTATTTCAGTACCTCTTTAGCTCATCCATTGCGCTCTTATCGCCTGTTGCGCTATTTGTAAACTCGTGCAATGTCTTTATAAATGCTCTCACAAGACGTATGTGTTCTCCGGAATGTATACTTTGCTAAAATTGGAAATTACAATTATACGTTTGAAATGGTAAAAATTATTTAATAAAATTGTATTCCATATATCTTACATTATTTATTTCACTGCACACGGAAAACTTACTCGTCGCGGTAGCGAAGATAAATAAGATGTAGTTAACTGAGAAGTCAATTGTGTATCCTCCGTATATTCCAACCAAAAATCAAGAAAAACCTGTACTACAGTTTCGCTTCTCCAAACTTGCGGTAAGCATTGCTGTTGCGGCACACTTGATCCAGGACTCACCGATCCCGATGATAATATCGATGTTCTAAGAAGTCTCAAAGTTTGTAATTTCTGACAATCTCTGAAATTTAAAAAATATAAATATAAAAAAATATAAATAGAATATATTTATCACTTGAATATATCTCGCTCTAAGTGTTAAATGTTTTCATACCTCCGGAATTCTGGTGACTGAGTTAATTTTCTTGGTGGAGTTTTTTTTACATATGGTCCAATCACTGGTAAAACTGCAGAATTATCTCTTGGAAGAAAATGATATAAATAACAATGTGCTAATTGAACATAAACTGTTTCCCAATTCATCCATACGTTTTCTTGCTGTTGAAGTTGCAACCATGGGTTGGTCAAATGATACGCAAAATGAAAGATATAGTACTCAAAAGGATATGTATTTGCATTAAGAAAAATGTAATGTTAATAAATCATATGCAGCACTAATTATATGAGAATCATAAGAATAATTATACTTTTAGTAAAGGATACTCATAGATAAAGCTGAAGGAACACGAGTTCCCGGATCATCTCTAATTTTATCAAGATAAAATGGTGATATTATGGCTTCCTCCAACATAGAACGTATTTTTGACTGAAACATAAAATATTACAATACTTGAATTCATAATAAATGTAAAACAATATGCATTGTACAATATATATTGTAGTAACATAAATTTATTTTTTAAATATACCGGAAGATATGACACTGGAAAGTTATATTTGAGATAACAGTCTGGAAGTAATTTGTAACACAAAGAGAACATTGGTCCCTGTGGGTTAAGAAAATGGCACAGTGCATCATATTCATGTGGATTCTTCTTGAGTGTAATATTATGCAAACCCCATCCAATATTATCCACTATTCCAAATAAGGAGTCTATCAAAAATGGAAACACAAGTTGTAATTCGGTGGTGCTAGACTCTTCTATTAATATAGACAGATTTCTGCATCGGTCTACTAGTGGTTCATTTAGATATCTTTGTGCTCTGATCTAAAAATTAATAATAACACGATAAAAATATAATCCTCCTTCTATCAAAAAGATAAAAGTAATCCGTTATATTTTTTTCAACATAAACTGTGTTTCTATAATATATTAAATTTTAACAAGCACACATGTACTAAACATATTTCTTTAACTTTAATATAAATAATATTTATTATTAATAATATTTAAATTTCAATATTATTCTACATTGTTTATATATATTGTTAGCGGTTTACCCCAAAATATTTGTATTTTATAAATCAATGAAACATACCGTAGCAACGTCAGTAGATGAAGCCATTGTTTCCAATTCTCAAGCTTTTATAAATTATAAAATATAATAAGTAAAAAATAACAAGTACTTGTACACAAATATTCTTGTTCACTTTTGCTAGGTCTTATATATTTATGCCAGTTAATCACTCTAACCTATCTACTCATGCTTTCTAAACTTTACGCGCTCATAAATTTGTCTATATAAGTGTACGCTAGCGCTATTGAAATCTTCGAGAACTAACTTGAAAGAATTGTGCATGATCGGTAAATAGTAAAAACTTTGTATTTGTGCAGCAAGATTAGTATTTTTTAGTAAACTTTTTTAGTAACATTTTTACCTTTGTGATATTTTCTCTTTTTCTCACTAATACTTAATATTAAATTCTTTATCTTTATTTTAAGTGCAAAATAAAAAAACAGTACAGCTCTGTAATCCGTAATCTCTCAGTTTACATGCTGTTAACATTACATGCTGTTGTAATCATTCCAGTGATACAAAAAAGGCATGTAATATCGACATGTAATTCATATAAATAGTAATAAAGATTATTATAGCAAAATATAATAATCAAAGGTTTTAGGAATATTGAAATCAATAATACATGACAATTATTATTATTTATGATATCATTTATACACATCTTATATTTGCTAAAAATTTGTTTACATTTTTTATACTAAATTATACCATTTTTACTGAATATTGCGACATTTATTTCCTTAATTTTATATAAATTTATTTTATATGAATATATTGTATTTATAATTTGCATTGTATCCCTTACGAAAAAGAACTATTGCCTGTTGTATGCTTATTACAAACGGCTGAGTGATTACAGGCCGCTGTGTATAAAATTTAAATTTTAAAAAAATTTTTCATACGTCTTTTTGATAGGTCTGTTTCTTTTTGGTTGCCTGAATCGTCAACCTGTTCTTACACTAGAAGAAGAAAGATAAACTCTGAACTAATGCAGCCAAAAGAACAGACCCAATATACAAAATATACCCATATACAAAATATAACCATATCAACACGATATATATTTCACATATTTGTGTTTGATTTCACAGAAGTTTAATAAAATACTTTTAACGATTGTCCCAATAGTTTCTGTAATGCTTCTAAAATTAAAACATATAATAAAATGCTATTGATAAATGCTTAAGTTAAATTTATTTAAAAATTTATTTGAAAATGGAAATCACATTTACATTAGATAAACAATAAATAATTATTTAAATTAACACTTTACACTTTAAAAAACTATTAAAAATTCTCTAAGCCTAGCTCAAATATTTAAATCATTTTGTTCATTGCATTCATAGAATTTTAAATATTGATAAATGCAATGCCATTTATAATTGTAATTTTGAACTAATTAATCAATATTCATGACTTTTCTAATCAGTTATTTTGTAATTCCTTTCGTAAAGCGCGAAAATCAATTTCAAAAAATAAGTCTAGTCAATTAGTCAAAGATAAGACTGATATAAAATCGTTAGTATTACTTGACGTTTATTATACATATATATTTAAAATACGTAGAAGTTCTATACGCATCATAGTAATATATTTTTAATAATCATTATAAAATTAACTAAACATAAGATTAGTTTATAATAGTATTAATAATATATTTTAAAATAATATATTTAAAAAATAAATATTTATGTTATTATTTTAAAATATATTTTAAAATAATAACATAAATATCAAAAGTTTCTAATGATACCAATCTGTTTTCTTCTTCGAGATTGATTGTCGAATGTTACAATGAAATATCTACAAAATAGAAAGCAAGAAAGATATGAATACCGATATATATCTATTTAAATCACAAAATATCAAATTCTAGATTATATTCCGATTTTCTCTAACAATATTAAAAATCTGTAACACCTGACACGAATTATGGATACATTTTTAGTATTGACAATAATATCGAAATGGTACACAAAGCAGCATAAATTTAATGCAATTTTCTCTTATATAATCCATTAAAGACTAAAGCAGGATCATCTTACATTCATCATCTACAGTACTTATAGAAAGTTTCTTGAGACGCATTTTTATTTTATATTCAGTATTCTGAAGTAATGAATTAGTAAGATTCTTACGTATCCATTTCTGCATCTGCAAAATTAACATAGTTATGTTAAATATGTATACATTCTGCAAAATTATTAATTTTAGAAAGGAAAATTGTAACATGAAACACATGACATTATATAATAATGTTATGATATTACTTGTG